TGCTGCTGCTGCTGCTGCTGCTGCTGCTGCTGCAGCAGGAGCAGCAGCGGCAGCAGTAGCAGCAACAGAAGGAGCAGCAGCTGCAGCAGCAGAAGCATGTTGGGGGGAATGTGTGCGTAATGCAGCAGAGTTTATTCTTCTCATGGCTCTGCTGTTGCTGCTGCTGCTGCTGCTGTTGCTGCTGTTGCTGCTGCGGTTGTTGCTACTATTGTCGCTCAGGAATACCGACGGCAGCGACGCCAGCAGCAGCAGCAGCAACAGCAGCAGCAGCACTCAGTTGCACATCCCGCTGCTGCAGCTGCAGAGCGAGAGCACTTGCTGCAGCACCGAATGCAGCAGCGAACGAAGCACTGTTGCTGCTGCTGCAGCTGCTGCTGTTGCTGCTGCTGCTGTTGCTGATGTTGAGACAGGAGCAGCAGCAACAGATGAAGCACAGACGCCGCAGGGTGTAGCAGCAGCAACAGATGCAGCAGCAGCAGAAGGTGCAGCAACAGCAGAACGTGCAGCAGCAACAGAAGATGCAGCAGCAGCAGATGCAGCAGCAGCAGATGCAGCAGCAGCAGATGCAGCAGCAGCAGATGCAGCAGTAGCAACAGCAGATGCAACAACTTCAGCAGCAGCTGCAGCAGCAGCTGAAGAAGCAGGAGCAGCAGGGAGAGTAGCAGCGACGGAGGAGGCAGCAGCAGCGAAAGAGACAACAGCAGCAGAAGAGACAGCAGCAGCAGCAAATGCAATAGCAGCAGCAGATAAAATATCAGCTGATGAAGCAGCAGTAGCACCAGAGACAGCAACAGCGAGAGATAAAGAAGCAGCAGCAACAGATGAAGCAGCAGCAGCAGCTAAAACAGCAGCAGGAGAAGCAGCAGCAGCAACGGAAATAGCAGCAGCAACAGAAGAAGGAGAAGCAGCAAGTGAGCAGAATATGTAGCTGCTGCTGCAACGTTGCAGCAGCAGCAAATGAGGCGGCAGCAGCAGCAGAACAACCAGCAGCATCCGCAGCAACAGCAAACGAGACAGCACCAGCAAAAGAGACTAGCAGCAGCAGCAGCAGCAACAGCAGCAACAGCTGCAGCAAACCCCACGGCTCCAGCAGCACACCAGCAGCAGCAGCAGCCAACACTCCCTGCTGCTGCAGCTGCCCCAACTACTGTCTCTGCAGCAGCAGCAGCAGCAGCAGCAGCAGCAGCTGTAGCAACTCCAGCAGCAGCAGCAGCAGCATCAGTAAAACTTCAAATGACTAACAAGAAAAGAAAAAAAGTAGGGGCTAAATATGAAGAGGAAGAGCCCCGTGGTAGTTCCTGCTGTTGCTGCTGCTGCTGCTGCTGTTGCTGCAGCAGCAGCAGCAGCAGCAGTTTGTGCTGCCTTTGCACCAGAACCTGTTGCTGTTGTTGTTGCTGCTGCTGCATCCGTTGCTGCAGCAGCAACTGCTGCAGCTCTTGCTGCTACAGCTTTAGCAGTTGCTGCTGCTGCAGCTGATGCTGCAGCTGCTTCACCCTCAAAGGCTGCTGCAAACTGCTGCGATGCGGTCTGCTAAGCTGCGCAACAAAACACAAACCCTAAACCCTAAACCCTAAACCCTAAACCCTAAACACCAAACAACGAAAAGCAGCAAACGACAGCAAGAAACAGAAAGAGCAGCCAAAGCCAACAAACAAAAACAGCAGCACCAGCAGCAGCAACAGCAGCAGCAGCAGCAACAGCAGCAGCAGCGACAGCAGCAGCATCAGCAGCAGCATCAGCAGCATACCTCTGGGTTGTTGCTTTGACTTGAAAGCTGACTGCAGCAGCAGGAGCGTCTAAACTGAGGTGTATGTACACCAGACCTTCTGCTGCAGTGCCCGCAGCAACAGCTTCATCTCCTATAACCTCAACCACTGCAACTCCAAGAGAATTCTGCGCTCAAACCCTAAACCCTAAACCCTAAACCCTAAACCCTTCAGCTGGAGCCTCAAGTTAGGGGTTAGCGTAGGGTTTAGGGTGGACGGTTTAAGTTAGGGTTTAGGGTTGAAACTAGGGTTTAGGGTTTAAGTTAGGGTTTAGGGTTTAAGTTAGGGTTTAGGGTTTAAGCTAGGGTTTAGGGTTTAGGGTTTACAGCAAAGACTCCTCTAGCAAATTCTTCACAAAGTTGCGGCCGCTGCAGCGCAGCAGTTGCTGCTGCCTCCCCACTCAACGAAGACCACCCGCTCCCCAGCTGCAGCAGCAGCAGCAGCAGCAGCAGCAGCAGCAGCAGCAGCAGCAGCAACAGCAGCAGCAGCAACAGCAGCGCGTTTTCAGATAGTGCGAAAGGAGTTGCAAGACGCCAGGGAGAAGCAGGAAGCAGCAGAAGCAACAGCAGCAGCTGCTGCAGCAACAGCAGCAGCAGAAGCAACAGCAAGAGAAGCAGCAACAGCACAGCTAATTCACCTGTTCTGTTGTCAGTGTAAGCGGCTGCAGCGGAGGCTGCTGTTGCTGCTGCTGCTGCTGCTGCTGCAAACTGAGCGAGAGAACATCCATTACGAGGTCATCCACCCCGCTGCTGCTGCTGCTGCTGCTGCTGCTGCTGCTGCTGTCAAGGTCTAGCAGGTCCACTGGAGGGGAAGGCTGATGCGTTGCTGTGGGTGGAGGTGCAGCAGCAGCAGCAGCTGCTGCAGCAGCTGCAGCAGCTGCTGCTGACTCTGGGATTGCTGCTGCTGCTGGAGAAATGTGTGTACTACCGGCTGGCCGTACAGCAGCAGGAAAAGCAGGTGCTGCTGCTGCTGCTGCTGCTGCTATTGCTGCTGCTGTTGCTGTTTCTGCTGCCGGTGTGTCGCCTGTAAGCCCTCCAAACAGTGCAGCTGCCATGCGCTCTCTTTCTGTCGGTTCTCGCTGCTGCTGCTGCTGCTGCTGCTGCTGCTGCTGGATGTACTGGGGCTGCGGCGGCAGATCTATTGCAGACACCGCGTCAATCGCTGCATGCGGCTGCCAGCTGCTGCTGCTGCTAACAGCAGCAGCAGGAACAGGAGCAGCAGCAGCAGCTGCTGCTGCAGCAGGATCGCCGCCATTTGTTGAGCCTAAAAAACCTGACGGACCCCAACGACGAGGCCCTGCGCACAAACCCTAAACCCTAAACCCTAAACCCTAAACCCTAAGCGGTTTAGAAGCCTTTGGAGAAAGCTTCAATCAATTCCCTGAAGACTCAACAGACCCTAAACCCTAAACCCTAAACCCTAAACCCCCACCAAGCACTTTTAGTCCCGTGGTAGAGGCAGCCGAATCTCCTGCAGTGTGCTGCTGCTGCTGCTGTTGCTGCTGCTGCTGCTGCTGAGGGGGTGTAGGCGGGGCGTAAGGAGTAAAATTCAAAGCGGCAGAGTGATGCTGCACAGCCACACAAAAACCCTAAACCCTAAACCCTAAACCCTAAACCCTAAGGCGAATGCAGTTGCAGTGCAAACCCTTGACCCGAAACCCTGAGCTCCACGTCGAACCAGACAGCCAACACTGCAAACCCTAAACCCTAAACCCTAAACCCTAAACCCTAAACCAATGAAGCAAGGCGCACTGCTTGTTGGTGCTGCAAGGCGTTTGCTGCTCCTTCTACACTTCCGTCTGGCGAAACAACAGCAGCAGCAGCAGCAGCTGCTGCTGCTGCTGCTGCTGCTGCTGCCCTCTTGCTGGGAGGGACGTACGCTGCTGCTCCTGCTGCAACGGCAGCACGTGCATAGGCCTGCAGCAGCAGCAGCAGCAGCAGCAAGGCGCAGATATACACAACGCAAGTGCAGCGCCACATCAGCAGCACCAGCATTAGCAGCAGCAGCAACGTCGAGACCAGCAGCAGCAGCAGCAGCAGCAGCAACAGCAGCTGACCGCCCCAATGTTTAGAAGAGCATCAGCAGGGATGTCTTCGTTGGCCGCATCGAAGGGAAAGACCTCCCTGAAAACAAACCCTAAACCCTAAACCCTAAACCCTAAACCCTAAACCATCTGTTAACTGAGGAGGCTTCATGCGCCCCCAAAGTCTCGGATTTGTCGTTGAGGGTTTAGGGTTTGCTGTTCAGGGTTTAGGGTTCGTGGTTTAGAATCTGCGGTTTAGGGTTTAGGGTTTAGGCTTTGTGGCTCAGGGTTCGTGGTTTAGGGTTTAGGGTTTAGCGTTTACCCTAGAAGCTTGGGGGAGAGCAGCTGCAGCAGCAGAGACCCTCGGAAGCATCTCTCTTGAATTTCAGTGGGCGCCAGGTGCTTTTGCTGCTGCTGCAGCAGCTGCAGCACGAGACCATCGACTGTTGCTGCTCCTGCTGCTGCTCCTGCTCCTGCTGCTGCTGCTGCTGCTGCTGCATTTACAGCAGAAAGCTTCACCAGCGCCCACACAACCCAGCCTCTAGTGCAGGTGTTTGAGCTCCTGCATGCAGAAAAAGGGTTTAGGGTTTAGGGTTTGCGTATAGGTAACATGTTGGGTATAAGGGTTTAGGGTTTAGGGTTTAGAGCAGCGCGCCTCGCCTAGTGGATGAGGACAGACAGTCTCGCCCACCCCCGCCGAGGGTTTAGGGTTTAGCAGAAACAAGGGCTTAGGGTTTAGGGTTTAGGGTTTAGGGTTTACCGCTGCCACGCCTCCCTCAGCAACCCCAGCAGATCTCGCTGCTTTACTCCGGGGACAGAGCAAAGAGAGCCGTACTCTCCTAACACCCAGCTCGAGACCTATACGCAAACCCTAAACCCTAAACCCTAAACCCTAACACCCAACTCGCCACCTACACGCAAACCCTAAACCCTACGTCTGCTAATCCCTAATCCCTAAACCCTAAACCCTAAACCCTACACATTAACTTGTCCGATGCTGAACTGTAGTAAAGCTGTAGACTGGGTCTGTGTGTGGCCTCGATTGTAAACCCTAAACCCTAAACCCTAAACCCTAAACCCTAAACCCTAGCCCGTACCTGAATAAGGATGTCTGGCAAGTGTTTTTTCTGCTGCAGCAGCAGCACCAAAGCATTAACAACATAAACCCTAAACCCTAACTCTTCTTCAGGGCTTCCACCGCTCCCCTCAACAACAAGCTGCATAAGAGACTGCGCAGCATGTGCTGCTGCTGCGCTGCTGCTGCTGGTGCTGCTGCTGCTGCTGCTGCTGCTTGCTGCTAGTGCTGCTGCAACACCAGGGGCCCCCAGAGAGGCTCCGCCGCCACCAACTTCGAGCAAAGATAAAACAGCAGAGACAAACCAGCGAGGGTCAGGAGAAAACCTACAAACAGCAGCGCAACTCAAGGGTTTAGGGTTTAGGGTTTAGGGTTTCAGAAAGGGGTTAGGAAAGGGTTTGTCTCGTCACCCACAAAGCCGCTGCCGTAAGGGTTTGAGTTGGAGTGTATACACAGGGTTTAGGGTTCGGGTATATATATGTATATAGGGTTTAGGGTTTAAGGTTTTATAAATAGGGTTTAGGGTTTGAGCTGGGGTGTATATATGTAGGGTTTAGGGTTTGTAGAATAAGGTAAGGATTGGGATGTTTAGAGTTTGCTGCTGATTTAGTTAGTGTGATTAGGGTTTAGGGTTTAGGGTTTAGGGTTTGTATTATCCATAGGGATACTATTCTTGAACATAGACGTAGTTTAGGGTTTGGTGTTGCATCTACTCTCTACTGCCTAGGGTTTAGGGTTTAGGGTTTAGGGTTTACCTTTCTGCTAGAGATGCAATTCTAGCAACAAGTGTTGCTCGTAAATATAGTTGAAGTGTTTAGGGTTTGGTGTTGCACAGAAGGGATCTACTCTCTACTGCCTAGGGTTTAGGGTTTAGGGTTTAGGGTTTAGGGTTTACCTTTCTGCAAGAGATGCAATTCTAGCAACAAGTGTTGCTCGTAAATGAGGGTCAGCTGCTGAGCGTAGA